GTCATCGCAGCAGTAGTAGCAGTAGTGGAGAAGTAGTGTGGAAGGGCAGCAGTCGTCATTGTTTTTAGTAGCATCAGCAGCAGTACTTGTACGAATACTAGCATTCCTGTCTTTCACTGCTGATCCTAAACAGCGGAAATTTAGATCCGGGTCAGGACTGAGCAGCACCACACTTCTGAAAAACGAATCGCTTACTTCTCCGCTATTGCAGTGCAGGGTGTGGAACTTGGGGCTTGGCGCACCAAGCCCTAAACCCCAAGATCCTAAAAACTGAACCCTGAAACCCTAAAACCTGCAAAGCCCTGAACATCTCAAAACCCTTCCCTCCGACTGGGAAGGCGGCATGCCGGGGATCCCGTAGCCAGCCATGGGCCTTATTGGTTTTAGAGGGTGGGCTTTGGGTTTGGGGTTTTCAGGTGGCTTAAGGGATTTAGGGTGGAGGTGCGAAGTAATTTAGGGGCTCTTCGGAACTAGCAGATAGAATTGGGCCATAAATTCCTACCGGAGGAGCCCAAGGGTCTCAAACCCTCAACCCAACATCCTGCACCCCGAAACTCTCAAATCTTGTAATCGAAGCTCATAAACCCTGTGCCCCAAACTGATTCACCCTCTACCCTGAACTCCTAAAGACTGCACCCGAAGCGCCCAAAGCCTAAGCCCTGCACCCTAACCTCCTATACGACCAAAACCTACAGCATCTTCGCACTGGCTTCTGCACTTCTGCCTGTTGGTCAATGACTCGAACAAGGTGACTTTGACACTCAATAGCAGGGTTACATGAAGGGTTTAAGTTTTTTCCTGCGTTGCAATACATGGATTCTGAAGAGGGTCTTCAAAGGGGCTTCGGGCCGTTCCTGGTTTATGGATCTAGCTTGGGCTCTTGACGGTTCCTAGGGCAGAGGCACAGTGTGAGCAACCTGTCGGCTTCCAAGAGGCTTGGGGCTGTCGAGTTTGGTGGAAATCTCTATAAACACCACAAGCATCTTTTGTTGTTATTGCTATCAGTACTACTGATGGGATTGTTGCTATTAGTACTACCACCAATATCATTATTGTTATGATTATTATTATTATTGTTATTAATATTTTTATTATCATCTTGCTATTATTAGTATTAGTATTAGTATTATGATTATTATTGAAATTAGCAGTGCTAGCAGTATTTCACTGTCATCATCAGCATCATCGGCTTCTTCATCGATCCGGCTATCAACATCGCCTTGATCTCTGCCGGTCGCCTTTGGGTTTTGAGGTTCTCTGGGTTCGGCTTGCTCCTCTAAACCCCTAAACCCCAAAACCCTGGGCGTATACGACTGTGGAGGCTGTAAAGTCATGGAGGACGACATCAGGAGATTCGCAACAGCATATATGACGATACCGTAAGACAACAGCGCGCAAGCTCTCAATTCTCAGTTAACTCGCTGATGTGTCGACAGGCTTCAGGCTCTAGCTTGCCTTGATTTATACAAAGGGTTAATCATATCGACGTTGGCTTCGGGCAGGCTGTCTTGATCCCCACAGGGACGCATGTGCGGTTTCCTTAAACAGTAGGAGTACGTATCTGATTTGAGGGTCCTGGTAAAATGAGGATCCCACTACTTACTTGTATGGTCTTGGTGAATGTCGCACTCCCGGTGGGACGAAGGCAGTGAGTTGGGTCAGCAGCTTTCAACTGGGTGTCTGGCACGCCCATCATGCTCATGGGGTTCACCATACCTTCCAGAGAATCTGCGGCAATGTCTAGAAACTGCACATTGCGGGGTTAGGCCTCCTTGAGCATAAGCATCATCATTAAAGATTCTCGACCACCGTCAGGCTGTGCCCGTCGTAACAACAACGCATGGTGCAGTTCATGAGGCACAGACCGATGGCTTAGTGAGTGGGCGAGGGATGTTCGCAAACTCAGGGCACTAGATGTAGGACAAACAAAACTAAATACTAGCTCCGAAACCCTATCTGATTCCGCGACTCTGGCATCTGATCTCCTAAACCTGCAACCTGTGACCCTGAAACCTAAACCCCTGACACCCTCGACACCAAACGAAACTCGTAAAAAGCCTTAAACCCTAAACCCTCAGCCTCTGATTCCTCAAACCTATGTCTGACAACCTCCCCGTTCCGGGCGTGCCTAGGCCGCCGAAAAGCAGACCCCCGGCCGCCATCGCGGCAGCCTGCAGGGCAGTGGCACTGCGAACATGAGATGTTACCTCAAGACTGGAACCCATACCCTGAGCCCTACACCTTAAACCCTGTAGTCTTACGGATGCTAACAGTGAAGATGTTGGATGATGATGCTGATGATGGTGGTGGTGGTGGTCGTAGTCGTCGTGGTCGTGGTGGAGGAGGTGATGGTGGAGGAGGTGGTGGTGGTGGCGGTAAAGATAGTGATGATGGCGATGGTGATTACGGTGAAGACGGTGATGATGGCGATGGCGATGGCGATGGAGATGTGGCGATGGCGCTGGCGCTGGTGCTGGCGGTAGTGGTGGCGGCGGCGGTAGTGGTGGTGCGGGTGGTGGTGCGGGTGGTGGTGCGGGTGGTGGTGCGGGTGGTGGTGCGGGTGGTGGTGCGGGTGGCGGTGGTGGTGCGGGTGGTGAAGTCACAGTGGTGATGGTGGTGGTTTTGGTGGTGATGGGGATGGTGATGGACATGGTGACGCTGATGATGCCGGTGCTGGTGCTGGTGCTGAAGAGGAGGAGGGGGAGGAGGAGGAGGAGGGACTGCATAATGATGACTTGCCTGGTCTGACATTTATATTATTTAATGCTGTTATGGCTGCTGCAGGAGAGGGTTTACGATGGATATGATGACATGATGATGATGATGATGATGACGGTGGTGATGATGATGATGATAATGATGATGATGATGGGGATGCCGATGCCACGGACAGGGGTCAGGATGCAGACGATCATGCTGGTGATGCGGAGGCGATTATAAGCAGGATGGTGAGGAGAAACAGTATCGCTATTGTTCTTGCCATGATGGCAAGTACTGCTACCGGTACACTAGTCGAATAACTTGTCGATGCGGTACTTCAAGATGCCCCGCCTGGGCCTGCTCCTGCTGGGCATAAGCTTGTTGTAGCTGCTGCTGCTGCTGCAGCTGCTGCGCTGCCCTGGGCATTTCTGCCCCAGTTTCGGGGCTTATATAGCATTGAGCTTGCAGAGGAAATTAAATCAAGTCTGTGTGGCGCAATGCCGGGGAGTTTTAGATCAGTCTGAGCGTCCTCCACCTGCTTGAGTTGCACGGCCCCGAACCGAAATCCTACAACTTGAACCGAGATCAAGGGCAACTGCTTCGCAAGACCTTGGGCCCATGGGCCAGCCCCTCCAACCCAGCCTGAGTCTGAGTGCTTTCGTGATCTATGTGGGGTTTCCAAAACTCGGATTCTCATGAGGGTCCCCGGTTTGCTGAAACTCCCATTTGCTAATTTGCCATGGTTCAGGCCAGCTAGGTACATGGGAGGCTGTAGGAGGAGGGTCGGGATTACAGCGACTACAGCACATCAACAGCTATACGTCACCGTTCAAGACAGGCACTATGCACATTGCGTGGGCGAAGGAACAGTCACTGAGCACCGTGCAGCTGTTGTTGTTGCAGCTGCGCCTGCTGCTGTGGCGCCTCAATCGGTGCAAGGCCCGCAAACATCCAACAAGGCCACAAAAACTCTACTTCGATGACCTGAGGCGTCTGCTTCCAAGCCCTACTGGTCCTACTGTAGCAGAGTATACTGAAGTATAATATAAGTTAATATAGCGTATCGTAATATAACATAGTAATATCTACAATATATTACATCAGAAAGCGTCACACTACAGGCCCGAGTTTTGCACACATGCAATTATTGCCTACACACGTATCCTTAAGTTCCTCCACAGATAATAGTCTGCACTCTACATAACACAGGCCTGTACACATGCTATTATTGCTTACTCACGTATCCTTAAGTTCCTCCATAGAAAATAGTCTGCACTCTACATAACACAGGCCTGAATTCCGACGCACTCTCCAGACGCTTTCCAGAACATAATACATAACTGATGACATATAGTACAGAATGTGTAACATAGAACATACTGTATAGAATAGAGAATATATAAAATATATTATGTAGTATAACATAGATGTATATATATATATAAATACACACAATACCGTATATGATGTAATATAATATGAGATGGTATGACAATATTTACGATGTAAAGTATAATGTACTATAGCATTTAAAATACAATATAGTAGAATATCACAAACTATCTTATATGATAGATTCATAATACAATGTAATACATATTAAAACTTACAATCAGGCATGAACAAAATATATAACATAGTTTATAATAAATGTATGTTTGTATGTACGTATGTCTCTCTATAACATATATATATATACACACGTATATATAAATTCTAAAGATAAAACAGTACAATATAACATGATATATAACCCTGTATTGTACTAATATATAATATAAGATACAATGTATGCTATGGCATGATATATTATACAGTACAGTAAAATATATACTACGAAATATATAACCCAGAATATATAATACAATATACGTACATAGACCCATCTATAGCATGATATAATATATAAGGTCATGCCATATTCGTCATATAATCGAATACAGTATACATTATAATCTATCATATAGTTTACTACAGTATAACACAACATTATATACTGAGTCCCCGCCACAACCCTCAACCCTGCAGAAATGCCGGAAAGGCTCTGTCCCTGCCTGGGGCGGTGGAGGCGGCGCACCCGCCTGTCGCTCAGCAGCGTAGGAGAGTTTAGGGTTCAGGGTTTAGGGTTTAGGGTTCAGGGTTGAGGGTTTAGGGTTTAGGGTTCAGGGTTGAGGGTTGAGGGTTTAGGGTTCAGGGCTGAGGGCTTTAGGAGTAGAAGAGTTTCGCTCTTTGGGATCTGAACAGCTCCGTGAACCTGCAAGGTATTGCTGAATGGTCGAACCGAAATCAAGGGCATGAACTTAAAAGAGCAATGCTTTTTGGCATTGCGGTTATCATAATTACAAGTACCCGCTGTTCTATTGCTAGTCGTCGTCGACCTCATGTTCTTCGGAGCACGAAGAGACATAAGGATTATCAGTCAAATCAGCCGCCAAAAGCTGCAGCATGCCCATGGGATGCAGCGGCTGCCACTCAAAATCCCTCCTGATTGTGGCTTCGCTACACAACACCGATTAACGCTTAGGAGTTGCTGACGAAGGGCATATGCTAAGGATCCTAATGTGGTCTCTCACCTGACCGAGGACCTTAGTCATGTTCGCAGACGCAGGTGGCGGCGGCCCCGCAGATTTGCCTAGCATCTTGGAGACTGGTTAGACGCCGTTGAAGGATTCGGGGCATGAGGCTGCGAGCCCTAAGCCTAAAGCCTCGAACCCTAAACCCGGATACCTAGTAAGGTTTGACACCTGCCCTGATGAAGCTTTGGTCTCTCCCAAAAAGTCTGCGGATCTGGGGCTTTATGGATCCAGCGTGCATGCGGGCTTCGGTCGTACGAGTTAGATTGAAACAAGAAGTAACGTGGACCCCGATCCTAACACAAAGGCCCTTAAGGAAAGGGAAATTAGTAATCAGTGGTATACGTCACTGAGAACCATCATCTGAGTCGTGCATGCCATGCTGAGCACCATAATGCGGATGAGGATGGTAATAGGCGTAGCTACGATATCAGTCACAATCTCGGAACAAGAATCATCACTCTTCTTGCTAATAGTCTAATATCATTCTGGGTTTACAATTGTTCGCTGCTATATGAAAGGTCACTGAGTAGTAGCAATACGACACGAATGGCATAATGAAGAGACTGTGTGGACAGAAGGCTAACAAGAACATTACTGTGTCTGTGCTCATTGGCGGCTCTTCGCTTAACCAGACACTAGCAACGGCAGAAAGAAGACCGCGGTGGTGACACTGATGGTAATGACTACTGGACTGGCCTCTGACGAAGAAAATCCTAGAGACCATAAGTGTCAGAAGTAAAACGGCGTTGAATGCGAACGATACTCTATTGGACTATGAAGATGGTTAGTCATGAGCGACACGGCTTCTGAAAACAACCATCATCGACAACAACTACGAGGGAAGGGAATAGCATGACGACGGCGGCAACTCTGCTGTGACACTGATCGTAGAGTTGCTGAGGTTATTGTGATTTAATGCGGAACCAGAAAGTTATCATGCAGACGACCATCGGAGATGCACTGTTTGTATGTTTATTGCTTCCACCCTGAGCTCTTCAGTCAGTGCCTCCAACTTGCAAAGACGGTACACAAGTTTTGCAGCTGTGTTCTATGAAGTCTCGACGTCTGGGGCAGCTACTTTGGCCACTGATGCCACCAGCTTTGCTTACGCCTGTGACTGGAACATGCCCACCTGCACCGAGGAGTCTCAGGGTTTAAGGTGTAGGGATTCGGTGGTGCACAAGGGAGGCTTTATGGCAGTGCGCTCGTGCCCAGCGTGTTATGCAGCCTAGTACCCAACATCCTCAGACCTTCTGCATTTTGTGCATGGACCCACGGCTTTGGGCTCTACCCCTGACGCTGAGAACAGCATAGCAGACGCTGCACAGCCATAACAACTTTACTGGCAACGGAAGACTTCATCCCTCATCGACCTGCTGGTCTGGCAGCGCTCTGCCCCTGGACAGGGTCAGGCAGAATACAGGACCCTTAATTTTTGAGAGCAAGGTTTAAGGCTATGTTGATATGGTAAGTACAATAAGGCACCCTAGGAAGAATAGGGTTTAGGGGTATGTTGATATGCTAGTCACAAGAAGGCACCCTCGGAAATAGCTACCACTAATTACCCAGGCTTCTGTATTGTCTGTTTCGTAACGGTTGGGAATGAAGCTTCGAACAAAAACGCTACATGCAGGCCCGAGGGTGCGGATTTGAGGTGATGTGGACTGACATTTGCGCTTGAACTTCCTGAGCCCTCCAGGCCTTACTGCAGGGTTTAGGGCTGAGGTCCCAAGGTCTAGGATCTGGGGGTTCAGAGATTCAGGGTTTAGGACCCTCAGCCCTTCACCCTAAACCATAACCACCCCCCCCCACCCTCAAAAGCCTTAAAATATGAGTCCTTTGAGGGTAAGGGGTGAGGATTGAACCTAAACCCTAAACCCTAAACCCCAAACCCTAAACCCCAAACCCTAAACCCGAAACCCTGACCCCCCCCAAGCAAAAGAAAGGCTTCTACGAGGCCGAGGCCGGAGGCGGCGGCGGAGGCGCTGCGGACCCGTGCCATGCAGCCCTGAGCCCATGGGACTTTAGGGTTTAGGGTTCTCAGGGGTTTAGGGGTTTAGGGGTGTAGGGGTTTAGGGTTTAGGGTTTAGGGTATGGGAATATCGTCGTCAACAGGGCTCGGGGCTTACGGTTTCAAGGCGAAGGGTCAGGGCTTTGGGGGTTTTGGGCGTTTTGGGATTGATATGGGTTATATGGGGTCTTCAAGATTTTTGAGCTTGCATCTCCTATCATCTGCTGCAGCCCTGCCAATGGCAGCTACCAGCGTCATACAAGCTCAGTTGCCGACTGCTGCGGCCAGCCATAATGCTGCTGCCTTAGGGAAGCTCCCAACGGCACTTAGCGTGGCCAAGACGCTGAAGATGACGATGCTTGATAGTTCTCGACGGTGCTTTGATGATCAGGAGGAGAATCGGAATGGGAAAAGGAGTGCAACTGAGACTCGAAGACTGGAACAGCAGTGAGGACCGGTTCTCTGCAGACCCCTGTGCCAACCTTGGTTCTGGCTAATTAATGAGGGCTTTGCGTTAAAACCCCAAACTGCAACACAGAGAGATAGGGAGAGAGAGAGATCTCGCACCAGAAAGCGGCATGCGCAGCAGAAACAACAGAGGGCTCAGGGTCTAAGGGTCCTAAGCCCTAACCCTAAAGCTCAAATTGAACCCCAAAGTAAACCCCAAACCCTAAACTAAGCCCTAAACCCTAAGCTGAACACTGAATCGACGAAAAGACTGGGCTTCTGGGAGACCGGCGCTTGCACGGCGCCCCACCTCGGAGGTACTTCGACGCTCTGGGCTACAGGGTTTAGGGTTTACGGCTACACTGAAAAGACACGAAATAAGTACTCTGAAGGACTTCTAGGTTATTTTTCCTGACTGTGTTCCCTCACAGGAAGGCCACCTCTAGGTTAGGCGCTTACGGTTTAGGATCTCTTTATGGGCTTTGGATTTAGGATTTCCTTCACGGTTTAGGCTTTAGCGTGTTGAGACTTCCCCAAGAGCAGCCAACACACAAGAGTCACTGTAAGGATCTCCACACGTTGCCGGTGATGCTCTTTGAGCTGTGCTTCAGGATGTCAAAGACTTACTAACTTGGGTTTACCATTTACATTTAAGGTGTCGGGTTAGGGGTTTTGGGTGAATAGTGAGACGAACTTGAGGTTGCGGGCGTGCATGAACATAGGCGCGAAGGCTCCTAATGAAACCCTGTCGCCGGACTTATCTGCTTTAGGGTTTAGGCTTTAGGGCTTAGTGTTTAGGAAAAGAGAGCTTCTCAACTTTGTCGACGCACGAACCGTCTGAATTTCTCGTGGGAATTCCCGGAGGGATCTGATTTCAACAAGTCTTCACTTCACTAAGCTTTAGATGCGGAGCCGGAGCTATTGAGTGCTCACACTCAGATCCATCAGGAGCCAAGTTGTAGAAGTCCACGCCATGAAACCCCTCATGACGTGTCAACACAATTCAGGGGTGTGTAAAGAGCAGAGACGGTTGCCAATGTCCATATTTCATGGTCGAGCAGCACCCCTCCAAACGAAGAGCAACAACAAATCTTGATTTGCCGTCGTAGAGTTTAGCGGTTTATTTATGGCGGGTTTAGGCGCTTTCAGGGTTAAGGGCTTGAGTGAAGTGTTTAGGTGTTTAGGGGTTTAAGGGCCCATAAACAAGAAACCCTAAGCCCCCCAAAAACGAAACCTTCAACACCTACACCCTAAGCCCTAAACCCTAAACCCTACACCCTAGGCCCTACACCCTATAGGCCCTAAACCCTAAGAGCTCTACCCCTTCTTCACAGAGTCATCCTCGGGGGCGGACATTACGCCGGGGACGGCCAGGCCCTCACCTTTGCAGCGGGAGGCAGAATTTGAATAGGGCTCCTAAAACGGGCTGTATAAAGTCTTTGATTGGGGCCTGAATAATGTTTGTGCAGAAATCCTCGGGCAGTTCTTCTTGAGTGTTCGGAATGAGGCAGACTGATTGAGGACGAAGCTGAGGCCTCCGCGCCAACACAAGCAGCCTTTGAAACCCCACTCTGTGCTAGAAAAAACGGCATCTTTCAAAGCCCAGACTGTTCTACACAGCCCCAACTGAGGCATGGGCCGCGGGCGCGTCCCGAGCTATCGGAGCATTTGATCCCCAAAATTTTCTACTGAGCCTTCCATCTTGCAACAGGGCGCGGCTCCTTCGTCTTGAGGTATCTTGGGCGGCTATCTTGATTGGGGGTTCGGTGCTTAGGGCCGCGGACCCGCAGACCAGCCTTTCCTGCACCACTGCATACTTCGGAATTGGCCACCACCGCCATCATCATCATCGACATCAGCAGCATCAGCAGCGTCAGATCATTGTAGTTCTACTGGTGGTGGTGGTTCTGTTTGGAAGAGGTGCAGGAGGAGGAGGAGGAGGAGGAGGAAGCGCGAGCGAAAAGCGACTTCGCGTGTTCATCGAAATTCGGCAATGGGGAATGTTGAAGGCAGGAAGGGCTGCAGGGGTTTTGAACGGGACTGGGAAGTTGGGGGTCAGAAAGAACACTTTAGGGTCCGAGGGTAAGAGCCTGAGTTTCAAATTCAGGGTTTGGCCTTTTCGGTGTGGGGTTCCACTGAGGTTTCTGCTTCAAATCGCCCCAACTCCGCAGTAGACTGTGGCAGAACAAACAACCCTCTTCCTTTTCTCGGAGCGCGATGAGCGTCTGTGCCAGCTTTGGGCATCGGTTTGGGTTCTTGCTTTTGCTTGCGACAGGATGAACTGCTTTCGTGACATTTCTCGTTGCAAGGCCTGTTGCTTGGGTTCAGGGTTCGCTTCACGATTGGTGCGAAGAGGCGCATCCCTTGAGTGGGTGCCTTCACATAGGGGTGCCGCCCGTCATCTGGCTCATGATGCCTGCGGCTGTCCCGTTCGTTTTCAGACCAGTTGAAGAGGCCCTAAGTTAAGTCACTCGACCCGAATCCCAGAAGTCTCCACAACATGGGAAGCCTTTCATAAACAAACCTCCGCAAGAACCCTCCTTTTTTGTGAGAACCCGGAAGCTTCAAAAGCCAAGTTCAGCACTGGAGCTCCTGGATGGGAGCTCCTGAAAACCCCTGCCCTGATGCATGGAAGCCCCCGGGTCTAAAGGAGGGTCCCTGGCCCAATCCCGTAAAGAACCCGGATATAGAACACCTAAACCCTAAACCCTAAACCCCAAAATCCTAAAGCCTAAACCCCAAAAAACCCTAAACCCTAAACCCCAAAATCCTAAACCCTAAACCCCAAAAAAACCCTAAACCTAAACCCCAAAATCCTCTTGAAAGCTTGGAGGTTGGAAGTCGGCAAATCGGCTTTCGCCTTGTTTAGGGTATAGGGTGCCACAAAATACATCTCAAACAATAGTAATAATAACAAAAAATAATAGCAATAATAATAATGGTGGTAGTAACAACAATAGTAATAATAGTAATTGTAATAGTAACAATACTAACAATAATAATAATTATAATAATAACAATAATAATAATATTAATAATAATAATAATACGACACTTGATTTACAACCACCCGGAAAGAGAAAACACAGAACAACTGGAAGCCGGGAAGCTGTTGGAGTCGAAGGAGGAGGGACCCACCTGACTGCAGGACAGGAGTCGGATGTGTAGGGTTGAGGGTTCAGGGTTTGGGGTTTGAAGTCTGGGTTTTAGGGTACCCTAAACCCTAAACCCTAAACCCTAAACGTTTAAGTGGGGCCCCCCCGGTTCAGGATTCAGCCCTGGGCTTGGGTTTAAGGTTCAAGGCTTAGGGTTTAGGGTTTAGGGCTTAAGGCTTAGAGTCTTTTGGTTGACTGCAAGTTTGGGTGACGGTTTAGGGTTTAAAGTTCAGGATGTAGGGCTGGAGCTCAGGATGAATGAGGCCTGTGGATCTGGGGTTAAAGGGGTTTTGTTTAGTTCAGAGCTTAGGGTTTAGGGTTTAGGGCTTAAGGCTTAAGGTTCCTGCTTGGCGATCAGGCTATGGCTATTCAGCCCAAGTCCCGAGCATGGTCGCTATCAGCAGGATCAGCAGTCTTAGCATGAATAGAGCTGCCACCATGTCAATTACTCGTCGAAGTGTTGTCATTCGGTTTGGCAACACGGCAGACAAGTCACGGGATGAACCGAGCTAAATACTGTTGAGCATCCAGACTCCTTCTAAGCCTTGCAACCTGAGCCCCATACACCCTAAAGCCTGTATACCCTAAACGCTGAACAAAAAAACCCATAATAAACCCTAGATGCCCTAAACCCACAGAATCTACACCCTAAACTCTGCGACGAGTCTCCCCAGGGGCATTCATGCCGCCAGGCACCTCGAGCGGAAGGTTGGTTCTCATTCTGGGCTCCTAGGATCGGCTTAAGTCGGGTTTCAGGGTTAAGGGGTTTTTTGAGGTCTCGGAGACTTGTGCTTAGGGTTTACATCGCTTTTGGTGCTTCAGGGTTCAGCTCAGGCTTCAGGTAATGTAGGGGCCATAATAATTGGAAAAGGGTTCTGGGGTATATTAGACCATAATTATGATAAGGAACCCCCAAAATAGCATAATTAGGTATTTATGAAGGCCCCTTTATTAGGCATCTTTGTTGCCTTGGTTCAAACCTCAAGGGATGCGGGTCTACGTCGACCCTTCTGTCGATAAAAAACCGCGAAAATGAGGCTACGCAACCCGAATCTTCGAAACCTTTCCTCTCGGACCCTGCATCCTGAAGACCCTCAGACCCCAGAAACAGCGAACACCTGCCCAAGTCCCCCGAAACATTGAACCCCAAACCCCTAAGCCCCCTGAACCCTCAAACCGCTGAACCCTAAACCCTAAACCCCCCGCCCCCTCTCCCCCTAAAGAAAGCACCCTGAAACCCCAAAAAGTGTAAGCCTCTGGGGTCGGCTCGCCCACTGGTCCGATGTCAGGCACAACCTGCGGTGGCTCCGGCAAATCACAGGATAATGCATAGTCGAGAGAGATAGTGGATCACATTCATATATAATATGTGATATGATAAGTTCTATCGCTACTGCACAAGCAACACACTGACCGCTTAGAAGGGAACAGCCGGAAACTTTTCCCGAAAGCTTTGCGGAGGGTTTTTCCGTGCGGAGCCCTCGAGAAATACATGGGATAACTTACATAGATCAGTTATACATCGAGACTTATACATCGAGACTTTCTTAACTTAACTTAACTTAACTTAACTTAGCTTACGTTGAGTTAAGTTAAGT